GCGAACATCGGTAACGCCTCTGGGGAGCAGGTATTTTTTCGACAAGGCTCGCTTAGGATCCCCAACCCACAACATGTTTCACCCGAATTGGTCAGATACGGATCTTTAAGGTGAGACGGTTCGCTCTTCAAGTGCAATTCTTTTCCAAATTCTTAATTTTAAGAGCACCTCAAGGAAGCGCCGAACACGCAAAGATAGTGGAACAACTAGACCACTTTCTCAACAAAAATCACGGCCTGTAAGTAACACCTAGCATTATCCTATAATATTGAAGAAGTCTGGATGACATTTGATATTATTTGGCCTTAATTAAAGGAGATCATCTGTAATCTGTGAAGCAACTGGTAGCACCTGGCCAAAGTCTGTGCCGTTGTTGGAGGAGCAATCCATCCCCATACGTCGACGGCTCCATCGTCCATCCGTATTTCCAGTATTCGCGTCATCTCAAAATCATCACGGAACGTCTAGGTTTGCCTTACACAAACAACTTTGAGGAAATGATGAACAATCTGTGATCATAAAAGTTTGCCTTTTGTAAGCCAAAATGATGTGTACAGTGGCAGAGGCGCACAAAACGTAGGTTTTGAATTTGCTTTTTCTGCTGCTGCAACTTTTCAAAGAAAGTGATAAGCTTTTTCTAAGAAAAGGAGGAAGTAATCTGCTCTGCTTTGAAGACTGGCTGCATTTCATAGTCTGCCGTGGTTCCATTGCCTTGATTTCAGTTACCGTACAAAAATCATCCTTAAAGAGTATTGGGAATTTATCGAGCTCTTAGAGAGCATCAATTTCGGGCAGTAAAGGCCAAATCGTGTTTTCTTACGGAAAAGTCTTCCGTAATCCCAGCAAATTTCGAGCAAATCTTAATATACTTCTCATAGCATTTCTTGTAATTTTTATTAGAACAATCAACTCACTGCACTCAAAACAAGATCATTGCAATGAAATGCAACCCCTTCCTAAACTACAGTTAACGGACATGTCAATAATTTTTAGCTTTGTGTTTTTATTCATTTTTTTGTTTGCACTTTTCCAAAATTAGTGAGCTAGGTAACTTGTTGGTGATCTTTGTATTCCATATCAGGCTAACAACAACAGCAAACCTAAGACATGTTTAGTATCGATGCGAGCCAAAAAACATTTATTGCATTGAATTTTTCCTTTTATTTTCTTTAACCTCAACCTAGCTCTTTAGCAGACTAGCCAGGCAGCCATCCGAGATGTCCTCAACGCGTTGTGGCTGTTCTTCACCATCGTCAGCATGGTCACCTCGTTCCAACCGAGACTCCTATCCCTCCGAAGGACGTTTGCCAGATGGAAGAGCCCTAAAATCTCCTGCTCCTACAGCTTCATCTTTTGCGCATGCTCATCGTGTGTCTGCGTACAGGTGCCTGCTTTTAGTCCTCACGGCATCATAACTACTTGGTAGTGATTGCAACGTTCAGCCCAGCCCTTCCTCAACCGCCACCATACCCTGGTCCTCGAGAAGAGTCCATCTCTTCCCTGATATCATCTACAAATTCAATTCCACATCCAAGCACTAGTTCTATTCACCTCGCCTACCACAATCATGTGAACAACTGTAAGTTTAAGTTTGTAGCAGTTCACAAAACCATAATAAAATCTACTGTTCAGCTCCATCGGGTACTTTGCTCTCGGAGACCTCCGATAAAGTTCGACGCGTATGTTTGAGCAAGGAAGGGAACGAGTTCGGCATCGGCTTGGAAAATTCGGATAGAGGCGTTGTCATTTCGAACGTCCCTGGGAGAGCTAACGGTCTAGTTAGGAGAGGAGATAGGCTTCTTGATGTATGCCCTCAAA